ACACTTTCAGAAAGAGCGGTTTTTGAGTGTGGTGGGCTTGAGCCACACCTATGATAGTGGTAGGATTTATTTTTGTTTACTTATGCTTTTAACTTCTATGTTTTCTCCTGAGCCCTGTTGTTCACTAACAAACTTGTGCAAATGATGATTTCAGGTGTTGCTTTCAAGCAGTTGACAAAGAGATTTCAGAAGAAGATGTCGGAGGTGAACTTTCGAGCTGGGAAGGTCAAGGTCTCCATGAGGAAGGGGAACATGATCATTCCTCCCCCTCCCCAGGTATGCCTACTTCTTTGAGGTTGGTTTTTATGAAATGTCGCTTTTTTTGCTAACTTCACTTGTGATTTGTTCTTTCAGAACCCGAAGAACTCAAAGTTGAGGAGGAAAATGGCTGAGAGGGGAGAGGGATCCTCCCAAGGCACCACCAACATGGAGATAGACGATCAGGGGTCTCAGCTTGTCTCCCTGACCGGCTCCACTCACATCGAGCTTCTGGAGGCCGAGGGCTTCGGGGATCGAGGAAAACAACCTCAGCTGGAAGAGATCAAGGAGGAAGGGGGAGAGGATTGCGAGGACATGACCCCTTACTTTCCTAACTCTCTCCTCGGCATCACAAAGAGGGGCCGGAAGAAGACGGTAAAGCAAACGATGGTCCGCTTCCCCTCGGCGAAGGATATTTGAGGTGGTGAAGAAGGATCCCAACAAGGTTATCTCCTCGGCCTTTGATGGCGTCTTGAAGTTATATTTTGATATATAACATTGAATTTCTCTATCTTTAGTTTAGTTGCGTCTAACCATCATCTTCTTGTCTTTTTGAAAATGTAGGCCGGCATGACTTTGAGTGTGCTCGCCGAGGAGTACCGGAGGGGGGCCATGCAGGATGTTGAGGGTATCCGTGCTGAGCTTTCCAAGGCTAGGATCGAGATCCACGGCCTCAAGGAGGAGCTTAACTCGGCTCGAGAAACGGTGAAGACGGCCAAGAAGGAGCTTGCTGATGCCCAGGAGGCCGGGACATCCCGCATTCAAGCCCTTGAGACTCAGCTCAAGGAGGCTAAGGAAGGGAAGGAGCTAATTTACAAGGAGCTGAAGGAGAGGAAAGACGAGCTGGCCCAGATGAAGAGTGATCTTGCTGAGGCTCGGAGGAAAGTGAAGCAAAGCCAGGGGGAGGTAATTGCTGAATGGAAGAAGTCTCCGGCTTGCGCTGATTTCCAATCTGAGATTGGATATGTGGCCTTTGAGGCGGGGATTGAGGATGCCCTGACTCATATGCAGGTTGCCCTTACTTCTTTTGGTCTCCAAGATTCGTACCCTAAGGTACGAGGCAAGATTAAGGATCTCGTTCGCGAGGCCGATGAGGAGGAGCAGAGGAAGGTGCTTACTGAGGAGGGCATGACCGAGGAGGCGAGGAGTAGCCCCTTGCCTTTCTTTGATTGACTTCTCTTAGGATGTATTTTCTTTTTATGAGACTTGTGATATTTTTGTTGGAACTTTGAATCTCTAACTCGGCTTGTATATTTGCACCTTTAGCCTTTGCCTTTGTTTTTCTTATTTGAAGTAGATTTCATGTGCTCTTACTCCAGCTTGCTTATTGTTTAACACTTTCTTTTTTCTTGCTTATTCACCCCTAGGGGCCAAAAAGAACCCCCTAGGCTTTTCAAGTAACTTTGGTATGAACGAGGGCTAAACGAGCCTTATGTTATTTTTACAAGTACGTGATTTGTGTGAACATCCGGGGGCTAAACGAGCCCCAAGTTATAATTTTGACTAAGTAAATGGACTAGGGGCTAAACGAGCCCCCAATTTATGAGTGATATGAGAGCTGGGCTATCCCTGCTTATTATAACAAAGTGAAACGATTTAGGGGCTAACATAAGCCCCAAGTTGTAAGAGTTAGGCTTTTCCAACCTTTTAAATTAGGTTGGGGGCTAAACGAGCCCCAAGTTATGAGTGATCTTTTGGCCAAGACTCTATCTCAAATGCTTGAGTATAGGCTAGCAACTTTCCCCAAACATTGGAACAAACTTTAGTGTTAGCGAACCAATAATGCCTCATGCCCGGCATGTGGTGCTATTAAATGAACGTTGGCTATTCTAATGAGCGATATAAAAGTTTCAAAAATAAACTAAGTAAATGGTTTCAAAAAAAAAACTAAGTAAATAACAAATGCAAAATAAATGGGGCAAACATCCCAACCGGGGGTTTTTCATTATATTAACAAAAATATGAAAGTCATTACAATGATGCGCTATATTGAAGTTGATCTCCTAGCATCGGCTCTTATTGCCCCTAGGGCATCATTGTGTTGAAGATGCTTTAGACATAAAACCTCCGGAGGTTGTCTGCATTCCGTGGCCGAGGGAGGTCCTTGCCATCAGGGGTTTGTAAGCGAAAGGTTCCCGGGCGGACTACTTCTCTAATCTTGTAGGGCCCTTCCCAATTAGGGCTTAGCTTGCCCAATGCCGGGGGCTTGCCCGCAGCCTCACACTTTTGTAGCACCCAATCACCTTCAACTAGAGGCCTTGACTTGACTCTTTTGTTGAAATAACAAGTAATCCTTTGCTTGTATGCTATAGAGCAAAGCATTTCCCCTTATCTCTGGGAGTAAGTCTAAGGCCAAGGGCTTTAGCTGATCATTTCGGTCGGGTTCATAGAAAGTAACCCTGGGGGATGGGATCCCAACTTCCACGGGGAGTACTGCATCACTCCCATATACTAAGGCAAAAGGAGTTTTCCCCGTAGCTTCCTTGACTGAGGTACGAATGGACCATAAGATCCCGGGCAAGTCATCCACCCAAGACCCCTTCGTGCCTTTCAGCATTGTCTTCAACCCTTTCAATATTGTTTTGCTTGCCGCCTCTGCTTGGCCATTTATTTGGGGTCGACACACAGCCGAAAACCTTGTCTTGATCCCAAAACGCCCGCAATACTCTATGGTTGGCCCACTGTTGAATTGCCGGCCATTATCAGAGATTAAGATGCGGGGTACCCCGAAGCGGGTGATGATATTCCTCCAGATGAACTTCTGGACTTGCTTATTTGTTATTGTTGCCACCGGCTCAACCTCAACCCACTTGGTGAAGTAATCCACCGCTACTATCAGAAATTTCCTTTGTCCCGAGGCTACGGGGAATGGCCCTAGAATGTCTATACCCCAACGATCAAAGGGTAGGACTGATTGAATACTTGTGAGGGCGTTGGCCGGAACATGGGGCATGTCAGCGAACCTTTGGAATTTTTCACACTTCTTGACAATTCTGGCAGCATCATCCCTCAGGGTTGGCCAGTAAAATCCGTCCCTCAGCGCTTTTCGAGCTATAGTCCTTCCACCCTGATGTCTACCGCATGCCCCTTCATGTATTTCTTTAAGTACATAATTTCCCTCCTCCGGGGTAATGCACTTCAGCAATGGATGAGTAAATGATTTTTTATAGAGGATCCCATCATGAAGTAAGAACCACTCACTCCGCTTTTTTATCATTTTGAAGTCAGGGGAGTCCTCGGGCAGCTCCCCCTTTAAGTCATTGAATAATTTGAACCATCCAAGTTTCCCCTATATCAATGTCCATGATAGCAAGTTTTTGGGTACTTGGATTCTCTAATACTTCCCATATGATATTCCGGGGGGCTATCCCCTCAGCCGAGCTTGCTAATTGGGCAAGAGCATCAGCTTGCTGGTTTTCTGAGCGGGGGATGTGCTTGATCTCGAATTTGTCAAATGATCTTGTCAAGCCCTCAGCCTTTTCAAAATAGGCTTTCATGTTCTCCTCCTTCACTTCGAATTCCTTTGTCATTTGCCCCACTATGAGCTGTGAGTCTAAGCATACTTGAACGGATTTTATCTTCATGAATTGGCATAAGTTCAGCCCCAAGATAAGAGCCTCATACTCAGCTTCATTATTTGATGCATGGAAGGCAATGTTAACTGCATATTCAAACTTCTCTCCCTCCGGGGAGATGATGACTAGCCCACCTCCACTCCCGGCCTTACTAGATGACCCATCCACATAAAGAGCCCAAGGGGTGGAGGTGTCTGTTGGAGTAGGCCTATGAGCGCATTCAGCTATGAAGTCGGCTAAGGCTTGGGCCTTGATGGCCTTCCGAGGCTCAAACTCGATTCCGAAATCAGCTAACTAATCTGACCAATCCGTCATTCGGGATGAGTGATTTTTGCTCTCTAGCACTTTCTTGATTGGTTGGCTGGTGAGGACTTTGATCGGGTGTGCTTGAAAATATGGCTTCAACTTCCTACTTGCCATCACTAAAGCGTACACCACCTTCTCTATGAGAGTATATCGGGTCTCAGCCCCACTTAGGGCATGGATAACAAAATAGACAAGTACTTTGCCTTCATCTCTTTCCGCAACAAGAACCGCACTCAGGGCATAATCTGATATGGCCAAGTACACAAACAATGTCTCCCCGGGGAGGGGGCTAACAAGCTTCGGAGTGTTCATCAGATGTTCCTTCAGCTGTTGGAAAGCTTTCTCAGCTTCTTCATCCCATAAGAACTTAGGCCTCTTGAGGGCCTTGAAGAAAGACAAACTTTTATCCGCTGATCGGGATAGGAACCTCCCCGATGCGGCTAGGCAGCCTGTAAGGCGTTGCACTTCCTTCACATTTCGGGGGGATTCCATGTCAAGAATAGCTTGAATCTTATCGGGGTTGGCATCAATACCCCGCTGATCAACCATGAAGCCCAGACATTTTCCACCTTGTACCCCGAAGACACACTTGCTGGGGTTAAGCTTCATTTTATATTTTCTGAGGGTTGTGAAGGTTTCCCTTAGATCGGCTATGTGGTCCGGGCTTTCCTTGCTTTTCACGATCATATCATCAACATAGGCCTCAACATTCCGACCTAGTTGCCCTTCAAAGATTTTGTTCATCAGACGCTGGTAGGTAGCTCCGGCGTTTTTCAGGCCGAAGGGCATCACATTATAGCAATACTCCCCTTGGCTAGTGATAAAAGTTGTGTGGGCTTGATCCTTCTCTGACATGGGGATCTAATGATACCCTGCATTGGCATCCATGAAGCTTAGGAGGGCGTGACCAGCGGTCGAATCCACCAACCTATCAATCTTAGGCAAAGGATAATCATCCTTTGGGCATGCCTTGTTCAAATCTGTAAAATCCACACACATACGCCAAGAAACATTGGGCTTCCTAACCAGCACCACATTGGATAACCACTCGGTGTATTGACATTCTCAAATGAAACCCGCTTCGAGAAGCTTTTTAACCTCAGTGGCTGCGGCTTTGTTTCTCTCCGGCCCAGCATGTCGGAGTTTTTGCTTGACGGGCTTGTATCCCTCCTTAATGTTCATCTCATGAGTCATTACCTCGGGGTCTATGCCCGGCATTTCATCTGCTGTAAAAGCGAAGATGTCTTTGTACTCTCTAAGTATTTGAATGATTTCTTCCTTGAGCTGGGGGTCCAAGTTCTTCCCTACCCTCACAGTCCGAGCGGGGTCATCCCCTAAGGGTATGCTCTCGTCTTCTTCTATAGGCCTAGGCCTACCGTACTGCTTTGGATTCTCAGCCATGTAAATGCTCGTGACTGGGTGCTGAGATTCATCAATTTCCATGGCTTTCCTCTTGGCCCCCTTGTCCTCCTGATTGACGGAGCTCTCAGGTGACTTCAAGCTATCTACATAGCATTTTCTTCCCTCAAACTGATCTCCAAATATCTTGCCCACCGATCCGTCATCGGTCTCAAATTGGAGGAGTAAGTGATAGGTTGAGATGGCAGCCTTAACCCTATTGAGAAGGGGTAGGCCAAGGATCATGTTGTATGGCAGAGGGGTATCCACAACTAAGAACGTGTGAACCAAGCTTCTCCCCTTGTTCTTTTCCCCCAAACGAACAGGAAGCTTGATCGTTCCTAAGGGGTACACATGATGCCCCCTAAATCCCACTAAGGGTTTCTCTAAGGGTGTAAGGTCACCTCTTCCAAAACGCATCTGCTCGATGCATTTCCATGTGATGATATCTGCTGAGCTTCCACTATCTACTAAGATCTTCTTCACCTTAGCATTGGCCACCTTCATATGAATCACTAAAGGGTCATCATGAGGCCTTTGAATCTTCTTTCCTTTGTCACCCCCGAATACCATGAGGGGGTCCTTCGGGGTAGATGAGGGAGTATTGATATCATAGATGGGCTCTTCGAGCGACCGCAAGTGACTTTTGCGTGACCTGTTAGACAAATCCCCGGAGACAAACCCTCCGGCTATGACATTGATGCTCAAGTTAGTGTCAGCTGAGCTATGGGCTTCTTGCACTTCTTTGGCGGCCTTGCTTTGCTTATCCTTCAGGGGGGACTTGAGATATCTGTTAAGCTTTCCCTCTTCAGCTAGCTTGTCAAGGGCTTTCTTAAGCTCTCTGCAGTTCCGGGTGGTATGACCTCACTCCTTGTGGTATTCACACCAAATATTCTTGTTCCTCTGCTCTATCGGCGTGTTCATGGGGTTAGGCTTAGGAAGAATAGCCTTGTGCTTTATGTCCAAATAGATCTCACGCCTATCAGCATTGTACTTGAGTCCTTCATCATCTCTCTCAGCCCTCCTCGGCCTTCTATTCCTGTTGTCATGGTAGTTATCTTCTTGCTTCCTCTTCCCCTTGTTGTTTGCTACGGGTGCCTTGCACACCTCACTAGCTTCAATGATCCTTTTAGCTCTCTCCATGGCTTCAGAGAAGGTGCTCACCTTGTCATGGACAAGTTCAAACTTCAGCTTGTTAGACTTGAGCCCGAAGAGAAGGGCTGTGAAAGAAACATTGTCTTGGAGGTCGGGGATTAGCTGAGACTCGGTGTTAAACCTCTTGATGTAGTCCTTAAGAATTTCATTCTCCCCTTGCTTCACCGTCATCAAATGAACGCTAGTATTTGTTTGCCTACTCCCATCGATGAAGTGCTTTTTGAACTGAGTGGCTAACATGTCAAACGTTCTTATGCTCCCGGGGGTAAGGTTGTTGAACCATGTCTGAGCTATGCCCTTGAGAGTAGTAGGGAAGAACCTACACTATGAGGCCTCACACCTAGTTTGGACTCCCATCTGTGCTTTGTAAGCGTTTAGATGGTATGTCGGGTCTGTCTTTCCATCATAAGGGTCCAATGTAGGGATCTTGACCTTGGGAGGAATATGGGTATTCATTATCTCCTGGCTGAAGGGGGTGATATTCTTGATAATCCCGAGCCTCCGTGGCCTGGGGGAGGAAGGACGCTCAGGGCTTTTGCTTACTGAACGAGCGGGCTGATCAGTTCCTCTTCTTGGTCTGGAGGTAGCTGAGTGAATCATGCTATCTCAGTACCTTGTTGACCCATGCCGAGAGTGAACTCTAGTTCGACCTCTCTGGGGGGGGGGGTTGTTATCTTTCTTAGAGTTCTCCCTCTTGGAGTTGATTATCTATCGGGCATCTAGAGTGCCATCCTTCATCCTTCGGTCATTGATAATCTCTCTAGCATCTCTTGGCCTGCTTGGCTGCCTTGTCTCTCGGTGGGGGTCATGGGACTGATCGGGCTGAGAGCGACGAGATGTCTGATGCTGAGGCCGAGAGGAGGCTGGATGGAGATGAGACACGTGAGGCGGAGGATTAGGCTGTGGAGCGCTCCCCTGCCTGCCTTGGTTGATAAGTGCTCTGAGGCTTTCCTCCAAGTTTCTGTTGATCTGGGCTGCCAGCTGGTCCAAGTCTCGGCGAGTGACCACCTGGGTGCTGTTCACTTCTCTCTCAGGTTCACTACGAGCCCAGGTATAATCTCCTCGACTATGTGAGGATTCCTAGCCGAGAGAATTGGAGCTTGCCTAGTAGCATCTTGATGAGTGCTGCGGGGACGCCTAGTGTTCACCATGACTTTTTGTTAGTTATCCCCACAGACGGCGCCACCTGTTTCTGGAAACCGAATGCTCCTGGGAGTCTTAGGGTAGTAAGGGTAATCAAGATGTCCTAGAACTATGTCCAATGAATGTCCGAATTTCCCTCAGCTATGCCTTGCTGTCCGAGAGCTAGGCCTGCAAAAGAGAAAAAAGGTTAACTGCCCCGGGGGTGTGACCCGGGAAAGCCCCTCCGATGCTTAAGTCAGCGAACGTACTTTTCTAGTGAGAGAAAGTAGAGAGAGAAAGAGTACTTTAAAGAGAGAAAATTAGAGAATTAGGAAAAAGTTACCCTCATCAATGATTGGAGAGCTATTTATAGATGTACTTTCAGGTGGGAGAGGTTGTACTTAATAGTACAGATTAAGGGTAAATCCGTACTTTTCTCTGACTAATGATGGGCTGGATCATGGAGGGGTATTTTCGTAACTCCAGGTACTGGGCTTAGGACAGTGGACTAGGCCCAAACAGTTCTAATGAGATCGGATAAGTTAATTTAAGTAATAAATTCAAATAAATAAAAATAGATAAGCAAAGCTCACCTAAACTATTGAGCATAAATATTTGATTTAATAAATAGTTAATTATCTATTTGTCAAAAAAAAATAGAAAAACTTGTGTGAACCTGATTCACAATAGTATTATGATGGATCCGAAGTTCTACACGTGCGAAACTGGCTTTAAATTGAATCTAGTGACCCTAATATTAAAATAGTAACCTTAATTTTAACATAGTAACCTTCAATAAAATTTGTATGATTTTTAATATTGTTGCGAACCTGAAGTACATTTGACGTTATATGATCCTAAATTTAACTTAGTGAGAATAGTGACCTATATTATTCTTATTGACCAGTATTTTTAAATTTCCATTAAAAAAATTAATCTCTTATGACCTTTATAAAAACACAGTCACTTTCATTTTAACATAGTGACTTTTTTTTTTAATTAATAAAACGACCATACTAACTATTCTATTAGTGCTCCACAATAAATAAATGTAAATCAGGTCTATTTAAGGGTTTGTAAAAAAAAAAGAGTTAATTACGTAGGTGAATCCATAGTTAAAAATATCAACCTTAAGTTCAAGTTGTAACTCAATACATTTGGATCGGTTTGGATTGAATTCGGGTCAATGTTAGATCTAGTACCCAGTGATGGAGGGAGTACAACCATGTCCCATAAATCACTTGGCGTAGCAGTACAAGTAGTCAAATTGCTTTTGGCCGTTGGTTTATTGTTGTAGGCTTTTCAATCATGATGACATCCCTTGATTTACAATAATTATAACGAATTATGGGTGATGATTAATTCGTGCCATGAGAAAGAAGAGAAGATATTATTAAAGTTTTTTTTTTGTAACTTTTTTAGTTATTTTTTTTTAAAAAAAATATTATTTTATTTTGTAATATGTGGAATAGATAAGAATATTGACTGTGATTATTTTTTAGTGTTTTACCCAGTTTATCCTTTGGACTAATTCGGATCCGGGATTAATTTTGGGTGATTAAGTTACAGTCTCCTCCTAATTGTCGATGCGAGGGATCGAATACGAGTCTTCGCTATCAAGTGTAGTCTCAAATTCTCAATTACCATTACATCAACAACCAATTGGTATATTAACTGTGATTATCACGAAATATATTTTGTATAGTTAGGCCCTATTCTCTTCACCTTAAAAAAATAAATATTAAGTAAAAATAATTTCAGTTCAATAAAAATAAGTTCAGTTCAGTAAAATTAATTTCAATTCAGTAAAAATAGTTTCAGTTCAGTAAAAATAAGTTTAGTTCAGTAAAAATAAGTTTAGTTCAGTAAAATTCAATTTTGTTAAAGAAGAATTATAATAGAAAATCAGTAAAAGTAATTTCAGTTCAGCAAAAATAATTTCAGTTCAGTAAAATTAATTTAAGTTTAATAAAAATAATTTAAGTACAGCAAAAATAATTTCAGTTTAATAGAAATAATTTCAGTTCATCAAAATTAAGGTGAAGAGAACGAGGCCTTAATACTAACATGATTGATTATTTAGGAAGAATTATGGCTTACGTAAAAAAGTTAACGTTATTTAATAAGAGATGGCATTACGCACGGGTCTTCATTGTCCGATATAGACATCAAACCAAATCTGAATCTATCGCACCTATTGTCATTTTGTATTTTTGTGGTTAATTTGACTAAGGTTTTAAAGATGCCAATTTACTTGCATTTTCACAAATAGTAATTTGTAATTTTGGATTGGTTTCTCAATTAGGTAAAACATAACATAGGGTTTGTGGTTTGTTTGATACAACTTGTTTTACAATGTTATTTCGAATTTGATCATATGAGTAAATTTTGGTAAATTTTTGTCAAAATTCTTCAAAATTTATGTCGAGATTAACAAGATTAAATTAATAGAGAGACAATATAATTGTTGTTTGGTTTGCACATTTTGTTTCTAAGAACTTGCAGATTAGGTTGGAAATACATTTTTTTTAATGCCTTATATTCAGGCATCGATTGATTTTATTGACCCATTGCATGTTGAATAATTTCTTAACGCGGTCATACACATTACTGTTTCTTTACATATAATGCATCAAAATCTTAAAATAACAACTCTTGTTGAAGTCTGATAACTACAACTTTGATTAATTAGAAGAGCTATAAATAAGATTTTTTTTTCTTCTAATACTGAGTAGTCTATTATGACAGTTGCCAAATATTTCTCTTTTACAGTGTATTATTTTATTTTTAACTCTAATGATTGCATACATCATTTGTGAATAAAAAAACTCCTACATTATTAGCACGTAACATGTTGTTATTCACCTAACAGTTTAACACCACTAAGTTATCAAAACATATTCTTAATCGAAATATATGTTGGATTCATCTCTACTCTTTTCAATATCAAATTAAAGCTCAACAGCTTTTACCATACAAGTAAAGCAGCTTTTACCATACAAGTAAAACAAGTAAAAAACATTATCATTTGAAAAATTGTTAGAATTGTTTTAATGTATACGCTACTTCAAAAACATCCATTGATTAGAATGTTTATTTCTATATACTAGAAGCAAAATTAATCAAAAGTCAAATTTGTGACTTGAATACATTGAATAGTATAAATAATTGATGGGCAAGGTGAGGATGGAAGGAGATCAATCTTAATTAATAGTTACTTTTAATGATGATTACTATATACTATCTTGCACCTTTTGAAAACCTTAATTTCCAACTAGAGGTGATTCAATGCATCGATTCAATAAAAAAAATTACGGGTTTGAGCAACCTTAATATAGTATTTAGTTCAAAACTTGATTTCGTCCTAAAAAAAGCTCGAAAAGCTCGTTTTGGCCCGTCATTGTTTTGCAGGTCTTGGGCACAAAAAAATTGTACTAAAGCTTCGCTTGACTCGATTATTCTATCACACCTTCTTCAAATCCACCTCATACACTACTGAACAAACACTAGTACTTATCTCGCCATATTAAACTACAGAAAGATATTATTACATTATTTTCTCAGTCTATGATTCCTTCATTATCTCCACGTTAAACATTTCGCAAAAACTGCATCAAAAGCTCTTGCAATACATAGTCATAATCACTTCACACGCTCCGCTAATTGACAGCTAACAACTGCCCAAATCGCTGATAGATGACAGCTACTGCAACGGCTAACAACTACTGAAAAATTCAAAAGCTAACCGTTACAATTACTAATTTTGCCGAACAGGGCCAACTAATTTTCCCATTAGAGCTCTACATTAGAAATTACTAGATCAATTTAGAAATAAGTAAATCATAATAATTGTTGTTTGAAGGGGCGACAAATAGGAAAAACCCACATGACATAAACGAAAAGATACCACCAATCCAACGTTTTTTCTCGAATAATAATTGAGATTTGGGATCTTCCCCACTAAACTAGACCTTTTAAATCCAAACAAAAATAATTAATAAAAAAAAAAATAAACATCAAAACTAGTATAAGAGTGCCACATACCCTCCTGCTTGCTTTTCACCTCTGCGTCTGTTTCAGCCGTTAAAATTTATCCCCATCACCAAAAAACTTCAACAATTTCATACCCAGGTTTGTTTTTTCATGTTAATTTTCAAATCTATAGTACTAATTATATGTTCATTCTTTTAATTAATTAAATTGCTTGCTAATTATTATAATATGTACAGTTAATTTGACAAGCAGGGTTCTTGTTTGCATAATCATAATTATGGGTTTAATTTGCCCTGTTTCTGCTACTATTCTTGTTGACTTTAATTTTAATTTTCTGGGTTTTGGATTAATTGAGTTTTTACTACATGGGTATTGTTTATTTTAATCTTATAATTTGATCTTGAATTGGGTTTTGTTATGGGTTTAATTATAATATGATAGTGCTAAAAATATCATCTTTATTGTTTAGATTTTTGTAAAATAGTATTAATACTATCTAAACATCTCATATATGGAAGGAATCAATTTAATTATTGCGGAATTGCAGGAAATTCCATGTTTTTGAGGAGGTTTATTGGTAATCTTCTCTCATATGGGTAAATTAACTTCTGTCACAAATGCTTCTGGATCTTACATGATGTTGCTAGTTTTGTATGATACGGAGTATAAGTTAATTTTGTTCTTATGACCGAAATTTCGAGTTTTTGAAATCAATTATGATCGAATCAATGATTTGATGATATGATGGTGGTAGATTATAGTCAATGTGCCTGTTTCTTGCACAACTTAACTTCATTCATAATCTGGGAAAAAAATTAAACTTGTTTTTGGTGTACCTGTATATTGTACAACTGGCCACGTTGACCGTCAAGCAGACTGATAAACTCCTTTTTTTTTGTTGGTTTCTTTTTTTGTGGTTTGAGACTAATTTCATTGATCATCTTGCTTCATATTTTTTATTGCTTACAATAAAGAGCACTGCCAAGAACTAGTCCCATGACATAATTCCCGCGATTATGTGTTTGCATTGTAATCCACGGTTCTACCTTAATACGGAGTATTTGTCATTTAATTGTTTTTTCTTGTTCCATGTGAACATGTCTCTTGGATATCAATGCAATGTCACCTTTTGCTTTTGGCTACCTATGATATGAAATATTACTTGCAAATTGTAGATTTGAATAAGATAGCAAATATTTCTTTTGTATGATCTACATCTTAAAAGATGCATACAAAGTATTAAGATATGGATTGTGTGGTTGTCTTTTTTGTAAAAAGTTTTTCCTGTCACATGTGAAAGTGATAAAATGCTACCTTCATGTTATTGTGCGCTTGTTTCAAAATTATTATCTTGATTTGTTCCAAAGGGTTGCTATATGGTGTGATTAATATTTTCGAGTATCAGTTGATGTCATTGTTTGGTAAGTGACTTTTGAATTTTTGATGAAAAGGGTAGTTTGAGGATACCAATTAAATATTCAGTACTTTATATTAGTTGTATTTGTATGTAGAATAAGTGTGATCTGAAGATATTTGTCGCATTCTATGATGGCAAATTCCTTTCTGTTGAAATGTTTATTGCATTTCTATAGTGGCATTACGAGCAATTAAGCTAGAAATTACTTATGTACCTAAAATCATGTGGGACTGACTGCATTTTTGGCTCTATGGAATATTTTTTAAAACAAATTAATCTTTGTTTGTCTTTTAGATGGCGGATCGGATGGAAATGTATAGCATGGATGACGCTCTTTTGAGCTTAGGTTTTGGGAAATTCCAATCCTTGATTCTACTTTATGCTGGACTAGGATGGATTTCAGAAGCTATGGAAGTGATGATTCTTTCGTTTGTTGGACCAGCTGTACAAACTGAATGGAATCTTTCTTCAGAGCAAGAGAGCCTTATCACAACTGTAGTGTTTGCAGGCATGCTTGTTGGGGCATATTCTTGGGGTCTAGTTTCAGATAGATATGGAAGAAGGTACACGCTGTAGTGCTGTGAATTCTTCCCTGGTATTTTAGTTTATTTTATAAACTTTCCTAATTGCAGAGACATACACAATCAGCACTTAAATGCAATCTGAACTTCCCTTCCTTTCCTGTCAAAGTTCTTTAAATTCTTGGTTATATGCGTGATCGTTCCTTGTCCTCCCTCTTCTTGGTTCTTTTGGCATTTTATGTATCTTCCCGTCTCTCCTCAAAAGCTCATTCCAACTTTCAATAATAGCCAAATAATAATGTGCCTGAAAATTGAAAAATTATGTTGAATTCCCTTCAAATTTTCACCTTTTTCTAACGCATGCCTTGGACATTAGAAGTGATGCACTCATGTCCGGCATCGTTTCATATTCGTTAGAAAATTGTAGTATACAACAATTATATGCATAATTAGATTTCTGTATATGGAAAAAGAAACTTTTCATATAACAGTAGCAACCTTGTACCAGAGGTGGGGTGTGGGGAATCCATTGCTTGTTAGAATGTTAACATGAACATTTTCTCTATATAGAGAAACCTTTTCCCTGAAGTCTGGAGCAACTTTTCCTATTTGGCTTTTTCATTTGGTCTAGGCCTCTGGGCTTGAGCTGGCTCTTCCAAATCTGATAGTAAGCTGCATATAAAGTACTTTACTTGATGCATCAGTACTTAGGGTTGGCAGAAGACAGAAGTACACCTGCCTGTACTTCATTGACGGACACTTTTTGAATAGCATTTACAATTCTCTTTCAAGATAGTGCTCTATGTTTTTTGTTTTTGTTTTTTTTTTTTTTATTTTTTTTTCCATAAACATTCCAAGTTCTTTTGCTAAATGTGCTCTTTTATTTTTTCACTTCCAGGAAAGGGTTTTTGGCTACAGCGATGATTACTTCCATAGCTGGTCTTCTAAGTGCAGTTGCTCCTAATTACATTACATTGCTAATATGCCGTTGTTTTGTTGGCATTGGTGTGGGAGGTGGTCCTGTATTATTAGCTTGGTTTTTAGAGTTTGTGCCTGCACCGAGGAGGGGCACTTGGATGATTATTTTCCAAGGGTTTTGGACTATTGGCACAGTTATAGAGGCTGGCATAGCATGGGTATGTTACTGGTTTTATTATGATTTTTGGTGCTAATTAAGTTCTGTATACTTATACCATTAGTTTTAGGAGAGTCTTGGATTAAAAAGTGAGGTTTTAGGCAAAAAGTTGTTACCTACAATATCCAATAAGCCCTTGTCAATCGTCTAGAATGTCTTTATTTTCTTGTCTGCTACTGTTGTGGATAGTTGGTTCAATAAGAACTTCAAGGATAAAGCTTCAAAAGCCATAGTTGCTAAGGCTACCTTGAGTATCGTTTCTTATTTCATCCTTGGGAAGAGAGAATAGAGATTTTTAGTGAATAATCAAGAAGACCAAATAATTTGGTAAGGTAGGTAATTAATGCTATTCATATTTAGGGCTAGGATTGAATTGATCAGCAAACTAAATAACTAATACAACTATCCTTTGAACTGTACAGTAATTTTCCATGAGTTCATCTCTATTGCTTAATTTTCCTAGTAGTATTAGTGTCTTACACTCTTACCTTAGTACTTTAAACTATATTTTTTTAATTATGTACATGTTATTGGCTCAGTAATAGATCAACCGTTCTCTAGCCATCAAAAAATGTGAAACAGATTGCCTATGGTCTCATTTGCTATTTATATTTAGTAATGATTATATTAACTTGTTTTGTAAAATAGTTTGGAAAGCAAATTCACATGTAGATCTTGGTTGATATATAATTTATTCGATAATTCAGGCTGATATGTTGGCGGGTAATCAGTCCTACACTTATCAGCCACTGTGTAATTGTGTATACCACTAGCTGAATAGTGCTGCCTTCTTTTGAACTGACTTATGTCCTTTTTCATTTGTCTGGCAGATTGTTATGCCAAGGTTGGGATGGAGGTGGCTGCTTGCTTTCTCAGCAGTGCCCGCATTTCTTTTGCTTGTCTTTTATTTTGTGGTTCCTGAATCCCCAAGGTATTTGTGCCTGAAGGGTGACAAACAGGGTGCCATGCATATTTTGGAGAATGTAGCGAAATTTAATAAATCAGCGCTGCCAACTGGTGTTCTTTGCACTGATGTCGAAATTGAGCAGTTAAGTGGTGTTCCTCCAGAGCGTAAACCATTGTTACCAAGTGTGCAAGCAGGAGTTGCACCTCCTCCCAATCAGGATGATACTACCACGGGGATTATTCAATCATTGTCAATGCTTCTTTCACCAAAATTAATTAGGTCAACTTTGCTCTTGTGGGTAGTATTTTTCGGAAATGCCTTTACTTACTATGGTCTTGTACTGTTGACCACCGAATTAAACAAGGACAGTACATGTTATCTAAGGAAAATTGGCTCACCAGATTCTGCCAATGTAAATTATAGAAATGTCTTTATTACTAGCTTTGCTGGTAAGTTTATTTTGCCAACATGATTAGCCTATCCTTGTATAATTTTAAGGATTCTACTAATTTGCTACTTTCAATTGCTGCAGAGATTCCGGGCGTTGTCCTAGCTGCTGTCATTGTTGATAGACTTGGTCGTAAAGGTTCCATGGCAGCTTTGCTCTTGTTAACTTTCGTCTTCATGTTGCCACTGATGCACCATCAGTCAGACGGTCTAACAACGGCTTTGCTCTTTGGAGCTCGAGCATGTATTATGGGATCCTTCACACTCATGTTTTTATATGCTCCAGAGGTAAGTCAACATAATATATGCCTATTTTTCTGCAATATTGTAGTCTAAGTATTGCTTATAAACCACACCAATAGCTTTATCTTAAGCATTCTTAAAAAAAAAAAAAATAAAAAAAAAAAAAAAAATAAAAAAAATTATTTTTAGCAATCATCACACATTCACACCCCTGTTTAGAGGTTGAAGGGTAAATAACAAATATGGTAGTATGTGGAAATCGAACATAAAGTGGCATTCTTAACTTGGGTAATTAACGCTACATGCAAATCTTAACTAGGATGTTAGCCAAGGCAAGTGCCATATTACACCTCTGTTGGAATCTGCAAACCCTTTCCCTTCCCTTGATAATTGCTAACTAAATGCACTATGAGTTTTCTTCTTTCTTTAATAAAACCAATTGTGTGATATAAAAGATATATTTGTTGTACATTTCAAATGCAGATATACCCAACAGTTGTGAGGAGTACCGGTGTTGGACTTGGGAGTTCGATGGCTAGAATTGGTGGAATGATTGCCCCAATCGTGGCTATTAGCTTAATTCATGGATGTCATCAATTTCTTTCCATTATCCTTTTCCTTGGTGTGGTATTACTTTCTGGTATTTGTGTCATGTTGTTCCCAATCGAAACCATGGGTCGGGAGTTGACTGATAGTTTTTTCGACAGTAGTACATATGAAAGGCTAGTTGCCTAAATCTACATGTAATCTATTTATTTCATATCTTTCTTCTTCGTCGTGAAAGCCAATGAGGTCGTGGCCTAGTTGTCAAGACTGAGGTCTTGGACACATTAGGTTCCAGATTTCAATTTGTTGTCTTGTCTCTCCTATTTATTCTATGGATCACTTTGTAATGAATTTTGATCTCTTTGTACTGATTTTTTACATCTATATCCAATAAAAAAGAAAAAGAAAGAATATCTTCGTTTCTAGTAGTAGAAGTGTTATCGATGAATGACTTGTTATGTTTTTTTTTCTCTCCATTTCAATTTTGGAAATTTTTTCCAAGACTAGGGCCGTTCTACAGGCGCGTTGCGCGCGAAGTAATGTAGTGCTGCTAGTGTGTGAGATCGGGAGTGTGACTTCTTTTGGCTAATTTGTAAGTTTATTTAGTTAATTATGAAAAAATGTAGATTAATTAGTGAACATACATGTTGATAAATTGAATTGCATTTAAAATTAGAGTAAGTTTTATGAGTAAGTTTATGCGCACTTGGTTATTAAACATTTAGCGATTATATATTTTTATAAATATGAATATATAAATGAGACTTTATGATTAATTTCTAATGACTGAGGATATAAAATGGGTAAAAAAAATGATAATCCGAAACCAAAAATGTGAATTTTTTTTTTTTTAACTCGTAATTATAACAGAAAGCCAATATTAGTAACCATACCTTGGATTAAAAATCGGTTAGACCCAATATAAAGTAAATAACAGCAACATATCTTCATTAAGCCCAAATGATCATGTATTAGAAGTATTTTTGGCCCATCATAAAGTGACCCACCTCAAGAATTAAACCTCAGAAACGATCAAGTCTGAAAGGATTTGTTTTTTTAGCTTAAAAACGAATTGAAAATCTATATTTGATACTTGTATAAAAGAAATGTCATTTCTTGCAAATCAATAATGTCATAAAAGTAATCCAAAGGACATGTCATAAAAGAAACCGTAACTCCAAGAGACCAAGAGTAAACATTAAATTGCTAATTCAATAACTACAATTTAAGTTCCGTCATTAAAAAAATCTACAAGTTAAGTACTCCGTAAATAAATATATATGAGATCAAAGAAAAATTACATAGACATAACTCCCAACAAATACATACAAGTATATCTGTATATGTAAGAAACCAAAGTCACCCTTCTTTATTAACTATATATAGAATAAAAAGAGAGTACATATCCAGTATCTATCATACGAATAAATACGATCACTCTATGAATAGGTAGAATACTATGAACTCCCACCGTTCACAACATCCCTCATCCCTTGCATGTCACTACATGCAGCTCCTCCATGTGGTGTAAGAGTAGAGACACTGGTCCCCTTCGGTCAAGATTAATATGCTTTCATCATAGTTATGACACCTTAACTCAAATTCATTGCACAAGAAATAACACAAAATCTCAATCATTAAAATGCATTATAAAAGTATACAACAGTATGAATGAGAATCCAGCTTAGTCTTGTCTTCTTCTCTTCCATGATGGTGATTAGTTGTGGCTGATAATGCTCCATTATGCAATTTACCCTTTTGTTTGCAGAAAATTTAGTGCATATGAGAAAATTATTAAATTAATTAAGAAAGCTAAACTAAATTTACATAGATCGAACAATATTCACTACTCCCCTGGTATGAAAAGCTCTCTCTCTACCCATAATTTAATAATTATTCTACATCACAATTATTGTTGATTTCTCATCTCCCATCACCAAATTAAACTTTCCACTGCAAGTAAACCAAACCAGCTTAAACCGTGCATATATATAGACTAATTCAAAGTTCCTGTTTTCTGGCACCCCTGTTAAGTTCTTCAAGTATGGTGTTTCCCGTACCCATGTTGTTCTTGATTCTGCTGTAAAATCCACTCTCAACTTCTCATTTACTTCTCATTTTGTCAAAAAAAAAAAAAAAAACCTCTCAACTTCTCATTTACTTCTTAAGCTCCACAATATACAGGCTTAACCCAAGTTTTCACTTGGGTACTTCTCAATGAAAAAGGACCTTTTAACTTCTCATTTACTTCTCATTCGAGTACTTCTCAATGCATTCTTGGATGACAGGCTTAACCTTTTGTAGCCATCTTAAACCAAACCAAACCAGCTTAAACCAAGCATATAAATTGAACAATCTCCTTTGGATCAGTCCAATCATTCTAAAAAACCCCACGGTTTCGAGCTCCCCAAGTAGCTTGGGAAATTACCATAACCCATTTCTTATCTTCCTCGCTCAATGGCTTTACACACTGCATAACCCAATCAAAGAAAGGCTGTCTGGGTCCCTGCACCAGTTCACCAAACCTACTCTCTTCCCCGGCATGTCTCTTCCTACTCTCCCTTAGACCTTATACTTTAGACTCTAGACCCCATCCCTCTATATTTTTCTCTTTTTTCATTTGGGACCAATATCCTACAAACTTCTAATTATATAGCGAGCTAACCCTTGGATACTCATGTCTGACATGGGTACCCAAGTTTGAGTAATGTAGCTTGCTAGCAAAAAACTCACATCATTGACATTAACATCTCATGAACATGAAGAAAACTGAGTAGGACCTTGTTGGTACTTGGTAGTACAGGTAGCACCACTTCCACTGTAAGGGTAATTAGCTTCACCACCAATACCACCATTGTTTATGACCCACTTGAACGCGTTGTCCATGTAACCCCCATCACAACTATCGTCATCCTTGTCTTAATCTACAAGCTCTTGCTCTGAGTGATGAGTTCTTTCTTATTGATCGCGTTGATTCCTTCAATGGCACCAATAGAAGAGAATTCCCAGAAGCTTCCTGTATGTATATGTCATGGAATATGTAATAGCTAAATTACATAAGCATATCATCTGCCAACATTACTATGCTTACACAACTTCATGACATTTGATGGAATTTTCTTGTTGTAGTACCTAGTAGTGCATAATATGATATAATTCGTATGTTGTTTTACACCTTATACGAAACAATAGCCTTTATCAGATGATTTTCTATTCTAATTTATAAAAAGCATAGGTTATTCCACATCAGAGACTTCTTGTATTTACTACCAGGCAAGCTGTATGCCCTGAGTTGAAATTGAGAGGCACAACGGCAGTAGTTTCGTATTGATTTAAAAGCTATTGAAAATAATTTAAGTTCATTGGAGTATTGGACTAATGAAACACTTTGATTGAAGACAGGTTTGAAGTTAAATGTTTTCTAGCAAATCACCATAATGAATACCATCCCATATTCTTATGTAAACTTCAGTAACTTATGTGCAAATTAAGATCTTGGATTTCACTAAGTCAGCACTAACAAGTTCAAAATATTGAATTATAAAATAATAAGAATCAACTAAATTATAAGACAGAACTTGAATGTGTATGAATTATGTATGTCCATGGTCTCAGCTATACCTATATTTCATGGATTATGTATGTCCAGCAGAAAAAATCTGGATGAACTCCCAAACAGTATTACTCATATGGTCAGAATCTCTTCTGCAATTAGATTCAATTATTATCCGATCACAGTATTTTCCAGATAAAAAGTTTGATAAACCAACCTCTGTTATAAAGCATTATCTAAAGATTAATACCGCATATATATGACATAAAAAAATAAAAAAAAGACAATTTTCCCATCTCTAAAGGGAAAGACTATAGTTCTTCCGCTATAGGATAAAAGTCTCAGGAGATGGATATTACTTTAGCATTAGATCATGCATAGCACCCATTATCCAGGTGCAACGCTCAAAAATTTAATTCTAATAGAATGCACATGATTCGTCTCTTCAGCAAAGCACAAAAATCTAAGACAATTTAGGTACAATTCAAAAGACAAATCTTACTATCTTTCTTCTTTTCAGATGCCTTCTTATCTGTCTCTCTCTCATCTGCAGCCTTCTTCTCTTCCTCGGTTTCATCACCAAAGAGATCCATATCATCGTCATCATCTTCAGCCGTTGCTTCCTGCAAATTTACACAAAAAAAAAGGGTTTCATAAGAGAACCATAATACTATCAAACAGTGACAGAGGGGAAAAAACCATAGGCCATAAAAAAATGACATTGAGATTGCAGCGCTTTCAGATTAAAACCAGTTATCTTATAAACAATATTATTTAAAGCCATTTTTTTTAACTTTCTTTTAATCATGAAAAAAGAGAACATATACAAAATCATACGTGTAATTTCATTCATATTGCTCATTTGTTATCATTTGAATTCTATAGATCATACAGGTTCTTTATTTAGTGACTAATTGAATCTCACAGGATTTTGATGAGTAAACAGTAAATTATACAAAGTTATTTGTTTTTGTCAATAACCATAGCAAGTATAATAAGTACCATTTCTTACCCTAGTGCATCACATGTTCAACCATCTTTGTTTCAAAGACAACTAAAGAAGTGAAAATAAATTCAAGAACAAACCTTGTTTTCCTCAGCAGGAGCAGCAGATGCAGCTGGAGATCCCTGGGAAGAAAATCTCACACAGGCAGCTTGGCCAGGGAAAGTGTCACATATAATGAAAAAATTAATAAATGATCAGATGTTGAATCATTCTTGAGAGCTCCAAAAGAATGAAAAAATTCTGGAGAATTTCTATATAAGACGAAACAAGCTGACAAAATAAAATAGCACAAAAGGATAGGCAAGCAGGGGAACAATCGGAACATTTCAAATTCACACCTCTCAACATACCAGGCCACAAACTACTTAAACCGTTAAATTTTGGATCTACCCACATTACCTTAATGGTTGAAATGTAAAACTCAAATTAGTGATGGATACTTACGGGATAATAACCCAGTTCAAGGTAATTGACCTCATATCAAATGTGTGACCTCATATCAAATGTGTACTATTATCAAGGATAGAGAGTATAGAAGCTTCAAAATAGTGATGTATTTTCGTAACATGTTACTCAGAGGAAGATCATTATAAGAACTTGACAAGGAAAAATGCGGGGGAAAACCTTAAGGAAAACCTCATTTGACCATCTTATATTATTATGTGTCAGGTGAAGCTCCAAAAACACATACGAAGTATGTAATAAAATTCAAGGGTTTCTAGCTGCACAAATGAAATATGAAATCTAATGTTCTTAATCATGACAATAAAGCCCAATGAAAAGACAACCAAATAAGCTCTAGTTGTTGGTCAAATAACTTAAGCTAAGGTATCCTTATGACCTTATCACCACACGACCTAATGCAGTTACCTATTGAAAATAATTGAAGTAATGTAAATAATGTTGCAGGATACTTCATCTATTATAGGAACTTATAAATCTTAGGCCTAAACGCAAACTTAAATGGTTGCTGTTATCCAGACAAGGATATAGGGGGGCGATTATACTTAATCTTAACCCAGCAATAGCATGTAGAGTACACACATAATTTTTGAGATACTCATGGATTTTGCCAATATTTGAACTTTCAAAATACAGGATTCAAATCCACACGAATCACAATATAACAGCATGATATCAGCTTAAATTACCTCTCCTGTGATTTTAACAGCAATCCTGTCCTTGATACTTCCTTTGGGATTCAAGGACTCAGCTTTTCCAAGAATCTGCCCAAACAAAAACTAATTAGGGCTTATGCTTTGATAATTAAGGTTATAAAAAAAAACAGCTACTGGTATTTGTTTTAAAATCATCTAAAAGCACAATCCAAAATCCTCAATTTCGGACAATTAGTAATTCAGTAGACCAATTCTATCAAAATGTATTAACAAAATTAGTAGACTAATCAATTGAAACCCCAATAAAAATTAGCAATTACGAGTAACAAGTAACAAAAAACAAAAATCTGTGACTGATGATTTCACCTTCACCCTCGTTCAGCGACTATTTATTCTTCCATTCCTCGGTCTGTCGGAGTTTGATAGTGCAAAGTGGTGACCGTGGATGGCAAGCCGGCGAAATTAAGCTGAGATAGAGAAAGCGGGCAAGTTAACGACACTGGAAACCCGCGAATTTCCTTGATCGGTGGTTACAACTAAATTGATTAGCCATCGCTTAAAAGAAACACTACTTAGATTAGAAGCTGAATTGATTACCAGCGATTCAACGGATCCAACCTCAGGTGGATTCCTTGATTCAGCGGATCCAACCTCAGGTGGGTTAGACTTATCCTCCATCGACGATGACGCTTCCGAACCCTTAACAATCAATCAAATTAAAGAAATCAATTGATTTCATCTTGATCTAAATCAAAATCAAAACCCTACTTATCGAAAACTTGAACCCAAAAAAAAAAAATGAAAAATCAAACCTTTAAACCTTTGAAAGCAGGAAGTGGGAGATCAAGAGGACGTTTGGAAGAAGAAGAACTACAGATTCATTTGTTGGCAACACAAGCCTTGTTTGTCCGCAATTTCTATTGTACTCCCGGAGTACAATGCTCACGGTACTCCGGGATTAAAACTTCACAATTGTTAAAAAAAAAAAAAAAAAAAAAAAGATATCCCCAAACGAGAACAGAAGAGAGAAAATTTGATAAAAATTAAGGATTATAATACCCTAAATCAGTCAATTAAGATGGGGAAAGGGAAAAAAAAGGAGAGAGAAACTCAAAAAGCATATTGGAGTGCCATTAATGATGGCAGATTAAAGAAGGAGATAAGTGCGAAGAAGACAATCAAACAAAAGCAGTAGAATAAAACTAAATGTATAGAATAACATAAAAATATTGAAAGAATAACATAAGATTATATACAAAGTAACACAATTGTAGGCACGAAAAATTTAGTTACATAATTATATTTATCAAAATAACATAAAGTGACTGTAAAATAACACATGGTTTTAACAAAATAATACAAGAACGCAATTGAATAACAGAAGCCTAGGAAGCAAAATAACATTAGGTTTTAAGTAAAATAATTTCATTTAAATTACCAAATAACATTCCCCACCACTACTTTCAAAGACTAAAATAACACAAATTAAACACAAAATAACATAAGATCTAAAGAACAGTATTATTTTGAGATAACAGTAGCCAAAAATCAAAATGTAGAAGCGAAATTTGTTTATCTCTTTTTCATTTTCATCTACTACATCATATCTCCATGTATTAAATGCATATTAAATTTTTAAAAATACAAAAATTATCACAAATTCAAAGCTAATTAGCAAAATAATTTACAATTATTTAAAAACTTACTTCAAGTATTAATTTATGTTAGTTTTGGGCTTGCTTGAGTAGGAATTTTGTCTTCAATATTTTGCAGACATGCAATTGAAGATTTTTCACTCCATTTCAATTGGAGAAACTGTAATTTCAAACTGAGAGAGAAAAAAGAAAAGTGAGTGGAGAGATAAATAAAATGGTTTGATTTTGACATTTTGAGTCTATCTTTCTTATATACAATTTAAGTTATTTTATTTACTTTATTTGTTATTTCGTAAAATAAAATTTCGCATGCGCTTCTTTTAGTTGGGTTTTAGCCCATTAATTTAGGTTGGGCCTGGAGTACAATATTAGGTACTCCAGGAGTATCATATACTAAATGTTACTTGTCAGCATCATCCACCAGAGAAGAGAAAAACAAACAAAGTGGCTAATTTCAAAGTAAAAAGCAAGGTTGCATGAATCATCAAATAAAGAAAGAGAAGTGCAGAAGTAGAAGAAGACATGTGACTTTCTTGAAAAAAAAAATTAATCATGCATGTGAAGTGCGAAGTGCACATGCTCTCACACATGCGATTCCCATGCTTGAACACTGTTCATAAGGTGCATGGGTGAAACTTTTTAAGGGGCGAGGATTATGTTGTACTTAGAAATATCATACTACGTATTTTATTTTTGAGGGCCATAAATGAAAGGTTCATTGTCTCGACTTGCAAGATTGAGACTTGAATAAAATATCATTTATAAAATCATAACAACTTTTGTTTTCTCGATTTTTCGTTTGCATGTTGTGTTGTACTTGGTTATGTGGTGGATCCAGGATTCCATAGTAGGGATAGCACTAAATGATAGGGAAAAATAATATACAGCTACTAACTTGAGACTAAAAAAAAAAGCTAAATTTAAGCTGGTAATAACACGCCAAGTTAAATTTTTTGCATAATGTAATGGGATTTTGTATAAAAAGTTACCATCAATTTTAATAACTATAGATTTTGCACCAAGTTATCATTACGAATAAAATTATGTACAATATATATCAAAATAGTTTGTATTACAATCAAATTAATAAGAAATGACTAATTTTCTTCACGAACAAATTTTATTCCGTACTATTAATTGTTTTTAACTAATTATTTATGAGAGTTAGTTTATGTAAATTATTTGAATTTAACATAAATGTCAAAAAAGTGGAAAGTGATTTGGGAAAGAATGAACTTATGATGGAAGTCATATTTATCTAATCTGATCTATTTGAATATAAATGTCAAGAAATAGGAAAGTAATATGGAGATTAAAAAATAATGAAGCAGTGATGGTTTTTAAAAAAATAAATAAAAATAAAAAAAAAATAAAACTGAAAAAAACATTTTGGGTTTGAGGGGGAGGAGATTCAAACTTTAGACTCCAACTAAACTAGGAAGTTTTAACCACTGGCATAGTTACCACTAAAGCACCCTCAGTTATGTTCTCAAGCTAGCATTGTTTAATCTTTATATGCTATTTTACAGAAGGCTTTTCTTAAACAATTAATTATTTTTTTTCGGGGGTAGCACGTGCCCCCCGGGTCACTATGTGGATCCGCCAGTCAATGTATCATCATGTATCTTTTTGTACGTGTCTTGTTTTGTTATGTTATGTGATGTTGTGCCATTTCTTCCAATAAGATGTTGCACAATTATCGCCCATAACTAGACTCACATAGTAACATGTCGTGACTTTATTTTATCTTCATGTTTAGTCATGTCTGACCTTAAAGTGGGCCAACTCAGGGCCTGTTCTCTTCCGTTGAAATTCAGTTCAGTTCAGTTCAATTCAGTTCAGTTCAGCTCAGTTCAGTTCAGACAGTTCAGTTCAGCTCTTAATTTACATCTAATGATATTGCTAATGATATAAAGCCAAATTTCATTCTTTTAAACTCTTATTACAACAACAACAACAACAACAACAACAACAACAACAACAACAACAACAACAACAACAACAACAACAACAACAACAATAATAATAATAATAATAATAATAACAATAATAATAATAATAATCAATAAGTAATTAATAAATAATAATAATAATAATAATAATAATAATCATCAATAAATAATAATAATAATAATAATAATAACAATAATAATAATAATAATAATAATAATCAATAAATAATAATAATAATACTCATCAATAATTAATAATAATAATAATATTATTATTATTATTAATAATAATAATATGTACATTTGTATATACACATATGTATAGTAATAAACAATCAATAAATAATCAAAGATCACTAATCCGTAGTTAAAAATCACTAATTAATAAGTTCAGTTCAGTTCAGTTCAGCTGAGTTCAGTCAATCGGAACAGGCCCTCAATATCATTTTTACTTATAATTTGACAATAATTTAGCTTGTGTAAAGCCTGAACATTTTATTTTATATTTTGTTTCTTTGTACAAATCCCCAGAGCCCTTTCTCAAAATAATGTTGCTTTTTTTTTATCTAATTCTCAAAATACAACCACTTTTTTAAAATTTCCCATTATACTGTCCACGTCAGCAAATATACAAAAATCTATTTTTTTTATTTTATTTTTTTTTTTACGGTTCAAGTGAAAACCGCTACTTGAAGTGGCGGTTTTCATTTGAACTACTGTATTTAAAAAAAAAAAATCCAAGTTAAAGGCTTTGAGCATCTTCAGTACCTGCATTTCTCAACCCCATCTTTCCTCTTTTTCCATAGTAAATCTTCTTTGACATATGCATGAATCCAATTAAAATACGTAGATATAATTTAACATTCCAACCCAAAATTGAAACTGTACGTAGTAAGTATCACACTAAACTCACATACAATTTTCTCAACGAAAACCATCCCTCAAAACATCACTTGTCAATCAAACTCCATTTATTTCCAAATTCATCTCTCACAACTTTCTCTCAATTCTAATTTCATTCATCAAACTTACAATTCTGATAATTATTTGACAATTTTAATAATTAAATTGAAAAAAAAAGTTAGGGCAACTAACTAACTAACCATTCACCAACAAAATTAGGATAAATTAAAACAGTAGCAGAATTGTCGCAGGAGCGGCTCGATGGTGGAGGTTAGTCGGCGGCGGATTACTCCTGCCATGGTGATTGAGGCGCTCTCCTTGACATACTAGAACTCTAGAAGGTTGGTTGGCTGTAGAGATTTAGAGCGAAGAAAGGAAACTATTTATACCAAGTATAAACCGCTACTTGAAGTAGCGGTTTCAAAGTGAAAACCGCTACTTGAAGTAGCGGTTTCAAAGTAAAAACCGCTACTTGAAGTAGCGGTTTTGCAATAAACCCGTAAATAAAAAAAGTCACACTAAATCGGTAATATGAATGGTATAGTGGGAAATTTTTTAAAAGTAGCTGTATTTTGGGAATTAGATAAAAAATACAACATTATTTAGGGAAAGAGCTCAAATCCCCAAGAAGCAACTATTTTCCTTAATTAAAGCATTGAATACCAAACACGACACTAGATGAAAAGTTCACTAGATGAGTCATGAACATGAAAACAGAGCTTAATTTACTGGAAATTTATAAATATAAACAGTGAGACATGACTGTGGACTTGTTTGGTTGCCTAATAAATTCATGGAAAGTTTATTTTCCTAGGAAATAGATTTCTATATACTTGTTTGGTTGACAATTATGTAGGAAGTGAGACTTCCTAGGAACTTCTACTTCCCACAAAATGGAGGAATTAACTTACCTAGTCCCCCCTAGGTAAGTTAAACTTCCTATGGGAAGTAGAAATTCCCACATTCAACCAAACAAAATTTGGCAATTCCTAGGAATTACAAATTCATGGGCATTGAGTTTTCATGGGAATTTCTACTTCCTCCATTCAACCAAACAAGCTCTATTGGGGTGATTTTGTCCGCTTTGACGTCGAAATTGACAAAATTTATTGGGCGTGACTCATTTTGATTACTTAAAAGTACCTTGGTTAACTCACAAAACGAGACACTTTCCATAATTTATGTCAATTTCGACCTCAAACGAGATCCTATTGGACCATAATGATCGACCACAAAACCTCTAGAGACCATGTTCTAGCACAACAATCAAAGAACTTTTTAATTCCTCTAAATTTAACCAAAGGTTCTTGACGACAAATGTTGAAAAACACTAATTTTTGGTTTATTTGTGATGGTAAAATAAAATATAAAAAAAGTAAATGCTAAAAGTCAGTATATTTTTTTTTGTGATGCAAAACAAAATTTCCTAAAATTAAACCCCTCATAAATTTCATAAGTAACTCAATGCTCAGAACCATTTTCTAGTCAAGGCGCCATTTTGACGGAAGAAATTTTTGGTAGTTTGACTAGCATCTTAGAATCAAAATATATAACTAATGACTAATGCAGCCCCGTCCCTAAAATGTATGGGCAGTAGGCATAATGTAAGAAAAGGGCCCCATATGTAAACAAATTTTTTTATACGCAATAGATTTAAATATAAGACAATTAAAATAACTTGTATTATTTGAATAGTAAGTCTCCATACACAATACTGGAGTAATAA